AAAAATAAATAAACGTTGAAAAAAAAATTTTTTAAAAAAAAAAACAAAAAAAACACAACAGAATGAAAAGCACACAAACTAAAGAAAAAAAACCTTAAAATTCTAACTTGAAAACTGCATACTCATTTAAAATCAAATTGCAATAACCTGTTATTTTATCCAGCTAAGTTAACTTGCAATTTTTGCATTGAAATAATATTTATTTGGACTTTTTAATTACATGGCTCTTTCCAGAGATTTCAGAAAAGTGGGCTATGTACAGGTAATAGATATTATGCTTCTATCAGAGAGCAATAAGAAAATTACACAGCCAGTGAATTGTCCAGAGGGTGCTTTGTTCAGTAGAACTTAATGAGATGTACACTCTCAGGTCTGACCTCTCACAAAAGGATTTTGTGGGTTTTCAAATTAACATCTATTCAGGTAGATGGTGTTGATGATCATCCCAGGGATATGACCAATTGTCAACTTTAGTAATGAATTTGATTTGTCCTGAAACCATTGGAAACATGTGAAAATTTCTTCTCTGAGTCTGTTCAGGTAGAAAAGCATTTGAATGAGTTAAGAGATCCATGAAATGAGTCTAGTTCACTGAGCATCTAAAAGAGGATCAAATATCCTTGGTAGCATTTTCTCTAAAGAGAGCTTGTGAATGTGGCTAAAGGCCCTGGGTAGCTCTATGATCCTGATGTGGAGAAACACCAGGAGGTGAAAAAAGTTTTGAGTGTATCCTGACTGTTTGGCATTTGGACAGCAAATTGCTGTTAAGAAGGCAATGTGCAATAATTTCATACTTAAATATAACATTAAAAATGAGGCAATTGTCTAAATAATTACCAACACAATTCCCTGTTATTAAGGGGGAAACCATTATTTCCTTAATCATCTAGACTATTTCTTCAGATGGATCATATTAACTGAACAATTATTTAACTTTTCAATTTGTTGTGACTGCGTGGATAGGGCCTCTGGGACCCATATACAAAAACATTTATCTCAGAGGAAAAACTAATTGTGCCTTGAGTCTTGCACTGACAAAGCACATCATAGTAATTTTACTGTTTCTAATTAAAAATTGCTGCTTTACTAACAAGTGATAAAAGTTTCACAAATAACAATACAGACTAGTTCCACGATGGGAGAAAAAGAGAAGGAAATCTAGGATGATAGGCAATTCAATAGACATTAAAGGCCATTCATACAGCTGAACACTCCCCATTTCTTTATTTCACTTGTATTTCCCCCTCCCGCTCCTTCTAGTGCCTTCTTTTGTTCCTGGGCTCATCCTTGGACCTCTTCCCTTCTCTTATCCACATATTCTCCTCCAGATTACCCAAACTGGTACCCTCCTTTTAAATGCCATCTATATATACTGATAGTTCTTAAATATGAATCTTGAGTCCTGACATCTCACCAGACCTTTAGACTCCTGTACCCAGCTGTTTACTTGCCATCTGTACAAGCCAAAAGTCATTTTCACTCATTTCCCACATCAGTAAGCTTTGTACATTTCACTGCCAATTTTGGGAGGAATCTCTCACTTTTCACTGCCCTAATTCCAGCCACATTATTTCTTTTTATCCCTAGCTCTATTAAGATATAATTGAAATATAACTTTATGTAAGTTTAAGGTGTACAATATGATGGTTTGATACAGGTACATATTGTGAAATGATGACTACAATAAAGTTAGTTAACACGTCCATCACCTCACATAATTACAATTTGCAAGTATTCTCTCCCATTCCATAGGCTGCTTCTTCATTTTGTCGATGGTTTCTTTTGCTGTGCAGAAGCTTTTCAGTTTGATGCGGTCCCACTAGTTTATTCTTGTTTTTTTTGTTTTGTTTTTGCTTGTGCTTTTGCATTAGAGTCAAAAAATTGATGGAGTTTTTCTCCTATGTTTCTTCTAGAAGTTTTAGTTTCATGTCCTACACTTATATCTTTAATTCAAGTTAATTTTTGTGAGTGGTGTAAGGCAGGGGTCTGATTTCATTTTTTCCATGTGACTATCTAGTTTTCTCATCACCATTTATTAGAAAAACTATCTCTTCCCCATTAAGTATTCTTGCCTCTTTATCCTATATATGTTAACTTATAAGCATGGGTTCATTTTGGGGCTCTCAATTCTATCCCACTGGTCTTGTGTCTGTTTTTAGTGCCAGTACCATATTGTTTTGATTACAATAGCTTTGTATTATAGTTTGAAATCAGGAAGTGTGATGCCTCCAGCTTTGTTCTTCTTTCTCAGGATTGCTTTGGTTATTTGAGTCCTTCCTCTCTACTCTCCAGATGCATGGATCAAGCTTTCACCTGCCGCGGTGCCTTTCCACTTGATATTTCCACCATCTGGAATGCTCTTCCCTGATCTTTGTGTGGTTTTGCTCCTTCATTTCATTTAGGTCTCTGTTCAAATAACATCTTATAGAGAACTTCTTGATCATGATCTGAAATAAACATCCTCCCAAACTATCCTTCAGTGACCAATCCTATCCCTTTATCTCATTTCACTTGTTATAGCACTTATCACTACCTGATACTATATTATTTTGTATTTGTTTGCTTGCCTACTATCGTTTCCACTAGAATAGTAAGTTCTGAGGGCAGGGACTTCGGACACACAGTGTCTGAAGAACGTCACACAATAAATGTGCTGAACAGGTAAATAAATTGTGCCAAACGTGAGGATGTAAAGATCAATAATACATGAAGCGTCCCTTAGAAACTTCAAAATGTAGGTGGAGAAGAATGCTACCAATAAATATTATACAGTGTGATAAGTGTCCACAAGTAGAATAATGGCGATATATACAAGGAATGACGAGAAGAAAGGAAGGGAGGATTAACTAGAAGGCTGAGCTGGGTCCTGAAGGATCTGTAAGGCAGGTGGTGGTGGGAGGAAAAGGTGGACATGATGCACTGAAGGCAGAGGGAGGAATGTGGCTAAAGGTATAAGAAAGTAAAGTAACAGGCTGTATTCTGGCAACAGGGGACTATTGCTGGAGTGCCAAATGAAAGGAGGAAAATGGTAAGCCATGGGGCTGATGACAAAAACAGGATCCAAGTCAGAGAAATGGTGTGGTATGCTATGTTAAAGAAGATGGCTATAGTAATCTGTTGTGTGCATCTGTTGGCTGTGAAATATTCATAAATCATAATGCTTAGCCAATGAAACTTTTAGTCAATTTGATTACTAATTAGCTGAGGATTTCTAACTTTTTGAAACCTTGTTAAATAAATTTCTAAGTTGTGGCAGTAATCTCCATGTATTTAAACGTATAACAATGGGGCACCTGGGTGACTCAGTTGGTTGAGTGTTAGACTTCTACTCAGGTCATGATCTCACAGCTCATGGGTTCGAAACCTGTGTCAGGTTCTGTGCTGACAGCTCAGAGCCTGGAGCCTGCTTCAGATTCTGTGTCTCCCTTTCTGCCCCTCCCCTGCTCACACTCTGGTTCTCTCTCTCTCATAAAAATAAAAAAACATTAAAAAAGTTATAAATAAATAAAATAAAATAAAATAAAATAAAATGAAATAAAATAAAATAAAATAAAAGTATAACAAGTCCCTGGTCAGTGGCACGGACATCTCTTCATCTCTCAAGTCATAAGTTTGAGTCTCACATTGGGTGGAAAGATTACTTAAAAATAAAAAATAAAAATTAAAAAAAAGGTATAATAAGCTTAATATAATTTAATCTCTATTTGATAGTTTAGAATTTTTTTTGAGTATCGGCCCACCTGCTATTCCTCTTTCTCTCCTCCTTCTTTCCTCTCTAACTCTAAAGCTGGTGAAGGTATAGGAGATCAATCCCTCCTTGTGTGTGTCTTTATAATCCTATAAAAGTGTTTGCATTATTGTCCAGCCATCTTGTGATGCTCTTCCAGAAAAACTTTGAATTCAAAAGCAAAATTTATGAGATGGAGTGAAGTCATTTGTAACATACCTTGCTTCTTAAAGGAACTAAATTGTACAATTTAGTGTGTTATTGTCTCAAAGCCATAAGTAAGAATATATCTGCTGCCTTACAGTATAGATGTGAATTAATTTCATTTTTTTTTAAAGATTATTTATATATGTTGAGAGAGTATGCGAATGCAGGAGGGGCAGAGAGAGGGAGAGAGAGAGAATTCCAAGCAGGCCCCATGCTGTCAGCAGAGCCTGATGCAGGGTTCGATCTCAGGACCCGTAAGATCATGACGTGAGCTGAGATCAAGAGTTGGACACTTAACCAACTGAGCCACCCGGGCTCCCTGAAATTAATTTCATTTTTAAAAGAAGCTGGTACTATTTCCCCAAACAACAACAGAAAATATGTATCCACTTCCATTTGGACTTAATGCTTATAGGTATCTTCAACCATAAATTTGAAGGATTAAACAAATTAAAAGGATTCCTGGACTATTCAAAGATCATCTGCTGTTTTTAAAAGACATGATGACTCACAGACACTTGAAAGTCAGAGAGCTTTGAGGATTGTCAACAGTGTTTCTTTCCACTCACCCTGCTTCTTTCATACTCTTTCCTTGAGGCAGCAAATAGCTGAGCATTAGATATGGCAATTCCACAAAATGGAAGATACATCTGCATAACCTGGGGGCAAAGAGAGTGTTAAAAACATTAAAACATCACTGCACCAAATTCCACATTCCCTGCATTGGCCTGATCATAATACTTTGTTTTCAATCAAAGAAATTGAGTATGGAATTGTTGATACTAGTATTTTAACTTTGGAAAGGATATTTTTCAGAGTTAACTATAACATCGTCTCAGTGAAGCTTTAACCATGGACAGTCACATCTATGAGCATATAAAGTGAAGCAACAGGCTATGATGACTATGATACAGGAACTGTATCTACATCATCTGTACATTCCTTCTCTGATCAATGAAAAAAGAATAAATGAATAAATTTATATATCTAGAATCTAAGGCAAGTGCCCACATTCACATTTGGAGGCAAGCAGGCTGTGAGTCAATTTCTTTGCACATAAGTTATCTGTAGTGGGGATCTCAGCTTGACCCTGGCAATGTCAGCTACAGATTGAAGTTTGCAAGGGCCCAGTAGGAATTTAGCAACCTGAGGGCCTAGTAGCCTGAAGCAAAAGAGCTCAAAATGTGCCCACCGTTCTGTTGACATAACTGGATTGAATGCAAATTTGTGGGATGTCCTACTGAAGCCTGTTTGAGGAAAGGCTGGGGATTCTTTAAGAGAACACTTCTCTGATGGGAAGAAACAGCTAGGTGTGGTGGGCTCGATCCCAACAAAGACTTTCTCATCATTTCAGTATCACTGATTTTCAGTACTGCCTGGCACTCTCACTCAAATTCATTCCAGAATCTCTGATTCCAAAGGGAGAGAAAATACCCCAAGTAAAAACCAAAAGAACTATTTCCCTAAACTCTTTACAACATAGCACATTGGGACAAGTAATATTGCTTTGGGACTCCTCTAAAGCAGATAGAAAAGTGCATGTTTCTTCCTCCCTCTGTCTCCTTGTTTGTCTGTCTCTCTTTCTCTCTCTCAATCTCTCTCTCTCTCTCTCTCTCTCTCTCTCACACACACACACACACACACACACACACACACACTACAAGGTCCTGTGAAGGGGTACTCTAGAGCAGTGACAAAACAGAGCAGCTCCCAATTCCTAGAAGAGTTTACCACAGGCGAGGGATAAGAATGGCAGGAACAGTGTGAGACACCCCGGGGACACCCAGAAAAGAATTACCCAGAGTGGGAGGTGTTTTTGCAGCAGGCTTGAGAAAGACAAAAGATGAAGAACAATCCACATTCCTTATCATTGCTTTCCTATTAGATCTTGCTTTGGCTACCTGGGCATATTCAGCTGTGACCTCAGGTCCCAGAAAGTATTTCACAAGGCCGTAGAAGCCAATGCTGTGACACCACTCTTACAGAAAACAGAGAAATGATGGAATTGGTATTAACCAGAAGTACAAAATCAGTGAGCTGGCTGATTTTTACAGATCTTTCCTGGATAAATTCCTTCAATGAATTTGATTCCAACTTCTATTTAATGAGGACCTTCTATTTAATGAGGTGCCAAACACTCTCACTTCATTTCTTTATTTGAATGGCACATCAACTTGTCATGGAAAAATTTTAAGTACATTTTAGAGATCAGGAAATTCAGTAACTTGCTCAAACTCACACAGGAACTCAGGTCATCTTATGCTACACCTCATGATCATGTCCTACAACATGGTGCCTCCTAGAACTGGATGCTATTTCTGTCGCCCCCTCATTCCTCTTCATTACTACTCCCCCTCATGCCTTAGGAAGTTTGTTGGTAAGCCAGGATAAAGCTGTTGACATAAAGCTGCCAGATATTCTGCCAGAATTTCCCTGCCTTTAGCCAGAATGGGACCACTTTCAACATCACCTACACACACAGCACTTTTCTTGTAGTTTCCTGTTGTTGTTGTTGTTGTTGTTGTTGTTGTTGTTGTTGTTGTTTTGACTCTGCTCTGGAGACAGTGACTATGATGGAGGTGGAGGGAAGGAGGGGATACAGGTTATTTTATTTTTCTCCTTTTCTTTCTTTCTCTTTCTCTCTTTCTTTTTTCTTTCTTTTTCTTTCTCTTTCTTTTTTTCTTCCTTCCTCTCTCCCTCCCTCCCTTCCTTCCTCCTTCTCTTTCTTTCCTTTTCTTTTTTTCTTTCCTTCCTTTCTTCCTTCCTTCCTTCCTCTTTCCTTCCTTCTTCTCTCTCTCTTTCCTTCTTGACTTCCTGACTTCCTTTCTCCTTTCCTCTCTTTCTTCCTGTATTTATCTGCCTTCAGGGGCCAAGTTTAAGGTGGTTCAGAGGTCAAGCAAGTATGTAGAAGAGAATGACCAAATAAATATGTGAAATGTTTTCTAATATATCATAGGCTTGCTTCAATTCCTTTGTAATGCCAATATTTATTGAGCTCCAAGCACTGGGTCTCATTAAAAATTATGTGACTATTAAATTAGATGACCATTGTCCTTTATATGGCTGTTCTGTGTGAAAGCCAACAAGTCACTTAACCTTTCTGAACCTATTTCCTTATCTGTAAAATGCCTGGTTTCGCTGGGTAATCTTCCTAATCCTTTTTAATTCTAATACTTGGTGATAAGTAGAAACATCTATGAGCTGTAATATTCTACTTGCTGGAGAAAACAAAGAATTCAATAAACATGCTCACATTTTACTCAAGAAATAATCATTTATAGTAGTAATCGATATTGACAAAGTCCTTGGATATGACATTAAGCATTTTATACATACTATATCATCTGATCCTTGTAACTACATATGCTATACCATTCATTTTATTTTTCAGATAAGAAAACTGGGCTTTACAAACTTATCCAAACTTTTTGGGAGATATCTCTCCATGGATCTCTCACATTTCTGCACAATGTAAAAACAAAGGCACTGCTCTATATTTCAAAGGTGTTTGTATAATGAATGGCCTTGGAAAAAAAGTGTCTTCTTCCAGAGCAAAGAGCAGACTTGTTTAATATAAAGCATAATTAAGATAATATTCTCTGGAGTAGAGGTCAGGCAAGCTTACTGTCCATTATGAAAGATCTGTGTTCTCTATATTTGAGGTTCCTCTGCTATAATCCATGTCCTGTGTTATCAAAATGATGCTGTTACTGAACACTTTATCCCAAGCCAGAAATAGCTGTTCACATATCAGTAAGACTATTTTATTTTTCATTTGTCCTGTTGGTATATTGATATGAACTCTACAACATAGTTACTTAGTAGTTGTAATTGTAAAGTAAGAGCCCAGGAGAAATTACTAAGATCCATGGTAAATTTATTTATTCCCTTTTTATTGAGCCAGTTGCTATCGATTTTATTTTCTCATTCCATTGATTCCCCTCCCCCACTACATTACATTTCTTTTATTTTAGTGATTAAAACTAGAAAGTCTATGTGCATACTTAATAAAATCTAATTTTAATATCTTTAGCCTCCTTCCAAATAAGATAAGAAGGTTGAATACTTTAACTTTCCTGTTATACATGTTACTTTTTTGCTTTTTTTACTTATACCTTGTTTTGTTACTGCAAATTGGACATTATTATTATTACCTAATGCTTTTTTAGATTTACCCACATGGTTCCCAATTTTTTCCTCTTTGTTCCTTCTAGCCTCTTCTTGTTTCCTTCTAAAATAATTTTCTCTTTTCGAATCCTTTAGAACATCCTTTAGTATTCGTGGTAAATGTGTTTTGTTTGTATAGAAAGGTCTTTATTTATGATCAATCTTAAAAGGTAATTTAGTTTGGTATACAATTCTAGATTGACCACTGTCTGTCATATTATTCCCCCATCATGTGCAGCTGATGCTGCTAAAATGTCCACTGTCAATCTAATTCATTGTACATTATCCATCTTTGTCCCTGGCTTCTCTTAGAAACTCTTTATATCTTTGGTGGCCAGTCTGTACTTTTCCAGCCTCAGTCACAGGCTTAACTAAATCATATAGAACTCTAAATATATTGAGCAAATATTACTGAGGATGGAGACAATATTACACCTTTTTGACACATTGCAAACCGAGAGGGGAATCTTTATTTACAAAGGGAATGCTCTACCTACCCTGTGTCATTTATCAGTACAACAATTCAGCGCTCTGAGGCCAGAATCAGTTCCACTATGGATACCTACATGACAATATAATCATAGAGTTTCTAAACAAATGTGCAGAAGAATCAGATAAACACATTTTGAAAGGAGGAAGTAAGAAGAAGCAGAAGCAGTATGGATATAGGAGATGATGAAAAATCTTAATCTTTTTTCCAGTCCCAGTGCAACAGATGTCTTTTTTTTCAAAAAAGAAAGAGGGATACTATTCTATTCTGCTCTTTTTTAGGTCCCCCTCCTCCAAGAAAAAATACGAATTTGGCCTTCACTGTCTAGTTTCTGAATGCCAAAAGGTCTAAAAAGCCTTAATGACTAAGAAGCTAATGAGTCTGCACACCCTTGTGCAGTACTTTTCAGCTTGAAAGCACTTTATGAACACTGGCTAATTAATCTTTACAACATCCCACTCAGAAAGAGAGTTAAACTGAAAATCATTAAATAGCGTGGAAAAGTCCCTCTAGCCCTGGAAACTCATGAAAAGTATCACTAATAAGCATAAAATGTGAGCACTGGGACCTTCCATCAATGTCCTAAAGAAAGACAGTAGATACTGAGCCTTTCAAAACTTACAGATCACAGAGGAAGGCTGTTAAAGCCTCCAGAGCTGGTCCCGTCCAATAATACATCATTAAAGGACACTGGAGGTCTACATTGGAGATTCTGTGAGGGGCCTGGGGCCACCCCTTTATGGACTCCACTCCTGAAGGCAAATAGCTTGAAGAGCCACATCACTATCAGCTAAGGTCACGGGTGAGACAAGGTCTTCCCACCATCATGTAGCATCTCCTTTCTCTGTGCAGACCCTGTAAGTTGCACTAGCAGGTCCCTTCCGCCCCCTCTGGCAGTGACTATAAGGCAAAACTTCACTGAGCTGGGTGGGGCCACCTGATTGGAAACCGGGAGTGTTGTAACTCAAACACGAAATAAGCTCTTCAAGTAATTTGGAAAAT